GACAATCCAGATAGTCTTTCCATCTCAGGATCCTCACATTAGTCGTACCTGCCGAGTCCCTTTTGGCGTGGAAGGTAGCATAGTCAGAGTTTCCTGGGACTAGGGGTGGGCATTTTTGGTGGGGGCCCTGATTCTGTTTGTCACGGGGACTGCCGGAATTCAGGAGTGGTCAGTCAGGAATTCCCCGAGATGGACTCCCCATGATAGGTACAGGCAGGTGAGGGAGCAGGGGAGAGCCTTCAGGTGATGGGTGGGAGGGAACACAAGGTATCTGAGGAACAGAATAGGGGCCATTGTGACAGGCCAAGGGTACGAGCTGTGACTGGCAAGTGAGAGAAGTTGGAGGCAGCGGTGAAAGTCACCGGAGGACTTTAAGGAAGATTTGTATTTAAAAAGAGCACTTCTGCTGCTGCATAGATAGCGTGGTTAGAGGTGAGTAAAGTGGATGCTGGAGGCTACTTAGGAAGCTATTGTAATTCAGATGAAGAGGCTGGTGGCGTAGCCTCAGTGATTAAAAAGAAGGGAATGGATTTGAGAGATTTAAGGAGAATGAATCAATAAGACGGTGTGATGGATGGAGGCAGGGTGCAGAGGGGAATGTCGGGCACAACCCTGAGGTTTCTTGCCCGGAAGAGGTGGCATTGTCATTTACTAAATGGGGAAACACCAGGAAAAGATTCAATTTGGGGAGGGGGGAGGGAAAAGTGCAAACTCTGGTTTGGGGTAGATTGATTTTGACTCACTGCCTGTGAGACAAACAAGTGTAAATGTCAGTATCCACCCAGGGTGAGTGAGCTTAGAAGTGAGGTTTCAGGGATGGAGAGAAAGGGCTGGAAATGGTTGGCACGTAGCTGCTGATTGAAGCCGTGGGAATGGTTTTCTGGACCCCAGGAAGAGGCCTGTGGAGAGGGGGGAGCTTTCTCCTCAGCCCTGGAGAACCCAGCTGCTAAAGGTGCCCCCTGGTGTTGGCAGTGTCTGGTGCTCATCAGGGGCGGACCTAGGGTAGAATCCAGAAGGGGCTGTTTTGAGGGCAGATGTGGAGGTGAGGAAGGAGAGACAAGTCTTAGAGAATAGCACAGAAAACGTCACATCCGTAGCCTTAGTTTTCTACTGCCTTAAACAATACAAATTTATTGCCTTCCAGTTCTGTAGGTCAAAAATCTCAATGGGTCCCCCTGAGCTAAAGTGAAGGCAGTACAGGGCTGTGTTCTTCCTGTTTTCTTGCCTTTTAAGCTTCTAGAGCAGGGGCATCCAACCTTTTGGTGTCTCTGGGCCACGCTGGAAGAAGAGGAGTTATCTTGGGCCACACATTAATACACTGTGACATGTAATCACAAAAAGATCTCAAAATGTTTTAAGTAAATCTACAAGTTCACATTGGGCCACATGCATAGCCATCCTGGGATGCGTGTGGCCTGAGGGTCACGGATTTGGACACCCCTGCAAGTCTGCCTGGGTTCCTTGGCTCCTGGCTCCCTTCCTCCATCTTCAAAATAAGCAGAGGCAGAGTTGAGCCCTTCACACCCTGCTCTATTGTTCTGCCTCTGCCCCCCACTTTTAAGAATGCTTGGCATTGGTAATCGAGGACAATTCCCCTATTTTACCGTCAGCTGCTTAGCAAATGAAGTCCACCTATAGCCTAAATTTCCCTTTGCCTTGTAGGGTAATGTATGTGCAAGTTCTGAGCATTAGGGCACGGCCGTCTTTGGGAGACCATTATTCTGCCTGTACCCGTGTATGTAAAAGTATGACGAGAATAGGATATTGAGTCCCGCCTACCTACCGCCGAGCTTCAACAACACAATTTTATTCTCGCTTCACCATTGGGTCATTTGAAACAAATCTTAGAAATCATCTGATGCCTTTGTAAATGTTTCAGAACTATCGTTGTTTGAAGAAGCCCAGTTGTGAAGAAGAGGTGAGAAAGGGTGGGAACTGGGGGAGATGTAAGGGAGAGTGTATGTTATTTTTAATCGGAGAGGCACTTCAGCACTTGAAATTCTGATGGGAAGGATTTACTAGAGAGGAGAGGTTGGTCTTAGACAAAAGAGAGACCTGTATCATTAACAGGGGAAGCACATAGGTTTGAAGGTTTGGGAGCGTGAAATGAAGGGAGTTCTTCTCTGCTTGTTTTTAAAAAAAATTTTTTTTTTCCTATTGGGAAACCAGTGAGAAGGGCAGAGGGAACGCTGACATTTTGAGGAGCTTTGGGGAATGTTGGAAAGAGTCATTGTGGAGCGGAGAATGGGAGCACTAGAGAAACGTCGTTGGAACACGGGACATGCTGAGGGCCACTTGAATGTGGTGAATTCTAGTGAATTCAGTGAGCTTGGTTGTGTGACTTTTCCCCCTGGCATTGCACATCTGGCTGGGTTTGTATTTAGAAACGGTAGATAATTTGGTTCTTACTATTTTTTGTTTGTTTTTTGGAATTTTTTTTTTTTTTTGGCAAGGTTGTATGACTAAGCACAGGTGGTAAGAGATGTGTGTAAGAGCAATTGAAGTCATGATCCATAGCCCCTCAGCTGAGTAAGAAAGCGGAGGAGCAAGAGGTGTTGCGATGTACGTAGCCGTGGTGGGAGGGCTTTAGGACGGCAGCAGGTGGAGCTGAGCCTGAGTGGGTTTTAGGGGTCACCAGATCCAGGGTGTCTTTGGGAGTGGGCAGCCGAAGTGGAACAAAAGATGGTTGGGAAAGGGGACATCAAGCTGCAGAGACAGCAGGTGTGAGAAGGCTCCTCCACGTGGTGCTGAAACGACCCAGGACGCTGGCAGGAGGCGGGATGTAAAGGTGCCGTCTGTGAGTGGGGGTCAGCCAAGACGGGGAGCAAGGAAGGCTTTCGACAGCGCTGGTAGGCACAGGCCAAAGGCAGGCAGCTGTTTTCGTGGGGTGTTTCTCTACACACTGTCCCTTGGGTCACTGGCCTTTGTGTGAGTCATCACCCCCTCTTCTCCAACTCCCCCTTCAATGGGAGGATATTTTAAAAAACAGGTAGAAAAAAGCAGACTCAACTGAATAATTCCCAGGAAGCAAAAAGCGTGGGTTAACTGGAATATATGGCTGGCTCATAAAGAAAGATTTAATGAGGTCCGTCTCCATGTGTTCTGCTTGTATATCTGACATTCCTTCTGGGCTCTAAGCCGTACGTCCTAACGTAGCTTCACAAATGGCCATGGGTGTGTGTTTAATATGCATTACTTACATGGATCTACGGTTCAGGGGTAGCTTTATTGAAAATTTTTAGTGATTTTTATCTATACCATAAAATTTTGCTGCATTATGATAAGTATTATTTTTAAAAACTCAGCCTTGTAGAATGGGTTGCTTTACTGTGAAGGCGATGAAAGCTGCACACGTGCACACACACGAAAAGGCAATGAAGCCGCTGTGCGCACAGAAGACCCGTGAATTCAGAGTGTCAGGTGAAGGGTAAAGGAATGATTGGTGGACCAGTATGTGGACCTAGAAAACAAGGGAAAACAGGATGTTAAGATAAGGGGATGGAATGTGCTGTTTCTGCTGTGGTTCTCTGCATAGAATTGGGCTCTTTTGTATGTAACGGTGCTTATTGACACGTGACCGTTTTGACTGGTTCTCAGCCCACTTTTCGGCTCCTTTTTCCTGTGACAGGAGAGGCTCATTGTATCAGTCCAGAATAAGTAGCAGCAGCAGATTTTTAAAAAATATATAAAATTAACAGTCTCTTTTTCTTTTTAAAACACTTGTCCCCTAATTCTTTGAGCTTCCGTGAGCTGTGAGTCTTCCATGACAGATGGGGAACACGGCAGGCCTGCAGGACAGAGCCACCAGGCACAGGGCACCCGGTCCTACCTGCCCCGCACTCCTTACCTCCTCGGATGGAACTTTGGTCACTTTTCCTAAGCCCAGCAGACTCAGTCAGGCCCTGGGGAGGGATGATAAGCAACAAGGTATTGCCAGTGCACCCTGGCCCTTAGTGGGGCTCAGGAAATGGTTTTGTTTGATAGGATTGCTCTGCATGGCATTTGGGTAAGATCTTGGGCTCCCAAGTCTGACTCCCAAGTTCAAGTCCCACCTCTGCCACTGAGGTCCTTGGACAGATTCTTAACCCTCCTGAGCCTTATGTTTCTGTCTGTTAAGTGGGATTATAACAGTACTTACCTGATAGGACTGTAGAGAGAATAAATAGCACAGTCCCTGGCACATGGTAGGACTTCCCCGTAACAATTATTTGTGTTGGAATGGTCCGCATGGCTTACCAGTTTGATGCATTTGGGAACTGTTAGGTTTTAAATTGTATTTCTCCATTATCTACAATATTCCCTGGACATTTCACTTTCTCAGTAAGGTCTTCTCTGACCACCGTATTTAAAGCTGCACCTACCTCCCTTCTACTACCCCCTCCACCGTTCCTCTCCTTCTCCCCATACGCCCTGGAGCCCTGACCCTCATTACCTACTTTATTTTTCTCCAGTGTGAATACCTTCTGTCCAGTGTACTTGCTTTTTGTGTCTGCATCCACTAAACTGTGAACTCCACGAGAGCAGGCATCGTGTCTGCTTTGTTTGCTGTTCTTTTGCAAGAGCCTGGAATGGTGCCCGGCACGTAATAGGTGTGTGATAAATATATCAGAATGAAGAAATTGACTTTCAAAGTGATGGAATGATTCTGTACACCCCTGAATACTATTGAAGCTGCCGCCCCTATCTGAGCTTGGAATGTTCTCTTCAGAAGCCCCTCAGAAGCTCTTGATGTTCGGTTGCCCGCCGGCTTGTCTCAAACCTCCTGTCCTGGCAGAAGATAAATGAAGCCAGGTAGAACAGGTTTGGGGATGATTAAGCTGGATGAGGAGAGGCTTTACGGCTGGTTTACTTCTGACACCTTTTCTTTCAGCAGAACGTTACCAGCATGACCAAACACCCGGGTGCCCAGGGGAGGTGCTGTCTCAAGTGGCCTCTCAGGATCATTTTACTTCCTTGTCTATTTCACATGCAGCAGAGCTTTTGTTATTTTTCTCTTTCAGGGCACCAATGCCTCTGCTCTGGAAAAAGACATTGGTCCAGAGCAGTTTCCAATCAATGAACACTACTTCGGATTGGTCAACGTAAGTATTTAAAACATGTATTATTTTCATCAACTATTTTAGAGTACTTGAAGCAACTCTGCTGCCATTTTCATCAATAATATTTAGATCATTGTTCATGCTCTTTAGTTACTAGAAGTGGCAAATGTTAGGGGAGGGGGAAATTTAGCCCAGTTTTTGAACGTAGGAGTTGTCTCAGAAAGAAGGGTTTAATTACTGCATTATTGGGGCAGGTTCTCCTTTTTTTCTGCCTGTATTTTAAAGGATTTCCTTTATACGCATAACTTTCAGAGGGGATTTTATCAGTTCCTGTAGCCAAATCTTCTTTTATGTGTTCTTGCTTTACCCGCTGGATCAATAAAGGCCCCTCTGGTGATCTTGTGTCAGTGTGCATCAGTGCAGTCAGTGTTAAAAGTGTTACCAACTCACCCCAGTAACTGTTTAACAGTAAAACTCGGTGGTGGTACCTGAAGCAGGGGCGGGCTGTGGGAGGGGCCAGTATATCTCAAAATTCCTGGACCTCATTTCACCTGCACTCAGCAATACCTCCGTTCTGTAGTGGCCAGATTTACCAGGCTCTGCTTCTGGGATAAGTTACGACCAGGTAGTAAGGCAGCAGCACCCACCGCCTTCGTGAGTGCTCTTCCCCACCTGATGCTTTCTCTCTGAGGCGGAGCTTTCAGAGACATCAAGTGTTAACTCATAAGCCCTTTGTTTTCTGGAACAGGAGCTCTGAGCATAATCAGGTGTGATAGGTCGTGATTTCCACTGGGGAGGCTGGAAATATTCTCCGCAAGTGGATGCTGCCTGTGATATAATGGAGAGAGTATTGCCTTCCAAGTAATACAGACCTAACTAAGTCTGAGTGCTGCCTATTCTCCTCACTAGCTGTGTGACCTTGGGCAAGTCACTTGACCTCTCTGATCCTCCTTTTCCCCATCTGTACCTCTTGGCCTATAGAGAAGGATCAGTCCAAGCTCCTAATTCAAGACCTTGACCCAAGGCTGAGGTCCACTGTGGACGCTTGGAAAATGTTAGTTTCTTTTTTTCCCCAGGAGCTGTCCACTGGATGAAGGCCAAGTGCTGCTGAAGGGTATTTGGGTAAAGGCAAGACATTGTGTAAAAGAGGAAAGAATGGAAGGAGGAAGCCTCCCACACTGGAATGTAGGGCATTGTGCTGACGAAATACTGACTTCTAATTGTAATGCAGATTTTTCCCAGTCCTTGTGCCTAGGCCTCAGCTTAAGCTCTAAGAAGATAGCTATCCAAGTCTGGGAGTTCTGCCCTGGCTAAGGAAAACAGAAATGCAGGCTTTGGGGGAAAAAGAAGTAAGGCCACCTCCTAGTTTGTGGGAACGTTGTGAGGTCTAAGTTTATTAATAGCTTTATGTGCACTTTGAATGGTAATTCATGAAAATTCCAGCTTTTCTTTAAAAAGAGATTTGTCTCCTATTACATAATTGTGTCCAACTAGATTAAAATATGTAAAAAACGGGAAACATCCTATCCTCGCATACATTAGAAATGTCACGGTAAGTGTGGCAGAGTGTTTGTCTGGCTCCTGGGTGAATGGCGCGCAGGCCGGCCACCAGTCCCGAGGAGACGCTCGTGTTCTGTTTTAAGTCTTACACAATATTTTGATATCATTGATGTTAATCTTGTTATTTCCTTAGTCTTTTTTCATTTCACTGTGTAGCAGAAATTCTAAAGTGATCGTCTCCGCTCTGTTCTTCCACAGAGTTGGTTTTCCAATCAGTAAAAACCAGTGAGGGGATGACTTTTTTGGCCTTTAATCATCATTGGAGTGTCTGTGGTGTCTGAGAGCACAAAATATTTCTATGCAGGCCCTCATCTGATTGTAGGGGACCAGGCACTGAGTGGAAATGGATTGCCCTCTCGGCAGAAGCAAGATGGAGGGTAATTTAGGCCTCGCGAGGAAGGGAGCTGGGGGCAGGCCTGGAGGAGGCCTCTCCGCCTCCAGTGCCCTGGCGGGAGCGCAGAAACGTGGTCCGAGGCCAGTGGGCAGGGACGCTAGGATGTTGAAGGAGAAAAACTAGAACAAGTCTCTGTTCCAGGAAGGTATTTCATCAGAGCAAGTAGTTCCTAGTCCCTGGATTTCTTTTTGATCTGGATTTTTATTTTCGCCATCAGGGGAGTTTGGATGTGATGCTATGTGGTGCCTTTTATTTAGCCAGCTGCCTTTCTGGGTCTTCAGATTGTGCGTGCGTGCGTGCGTACGTGCGCTTTTTTTTTTTTAAAGCACCAGAAGGTCTCATTAGATTTTTTTATTTTTTTTAATCCAGGCAGAGTTCTTATTATCATTTCAGAGATGCTGGTGGGCTAGAGAGGCACCAGGCTTATGTCAACTTGTACTCATTTCCCTGCTGACAAGCTAGTTGCCTGTGTTTTGAGTGGTTTACTAGTTTTCTGACCTGGGGAGCAGGACTCTGATACCGGGACATCCAGGCCGGTTCGCAGAGGCTGGGCTTCTCGCTCTCCCAGCCTGGTCCAGAGGTGGCCTGTCCCCAGACCGTGATTTGAAGCATACCTGTTGTCCTTTGGCAGTTCGGGAACACGTGCTACTGTAACTCCGTGCTTCAGGCATTGTACTTCTGCCGGCCGTTCCGTGAGAATGTGCTGGCATACAAGGCCCAGCAAAAAAAGAAGGAAAACCTGCTGACGTGCCTGGCAGACCTTTTCCACAGCATTGCCACGCAGAAGAAGAAGGTTGGTGTGATCCCACCAAAGAAGTTCATTTCAAGGCTGAGAAAGGAGAATGGTGAGTAGTGTGGAGACAAATGTGTTTAAGAGTCTGAAATAAGGAAAATTGGCAGCTCATGTCTCCTCAGAATGAATCTTTTCTTTCCCCAGGGAAATAGCATGGCCAACTACTCAAATGTAATTTTTTAATGATATTTCTCCTTTTCCACTTAGTATACATAAAACAAAACTGGATAAAAAATATGCTTAAAAATTCAGATTTATTATCTCAGTTCGGAATTGTCTTTTTATTTGCTTCACAGTTGGAAGGGGTTTTGTTCCTGGATAGATCACTGTAAGAGGGAAAATTGCCCAAGGCAGCCTTCTAAGCAGGACACTGATTGGAAGAAATAGGTTGATGCAGTAATTGAATAAAATAGTACTATTTTAGGAACTTGTCATAAGTGATTAAAGTAAATGCATATTATTTAATCAGAGCCTCTATTTTAAAAATAATACCTATGATTTTTATTTGCCTAAGATAATTGAAAAATATTAAATTGATAGCCTTTATATGATTAAAATGTCCTGCTGTCACCTGATTTTTTCCTTCTTTTTCTATCTTTTTTTTTTTTTTTTTTTTGGAGGAAGCAGTGGCAGTAGAAACTAGGTTATTCCCAAAGTTTTGCATTGGTAATTCTTATGACTATAAAAATCCTTGGTATTTGTGTTATCCTAGATTTCAGCCTTACTCCACCAGATTTGCAGTTAATCAGATGTTTGTTTTATAAAGTCTCATTTAATTGGATTGCTGTCTTTAAAAGTTGTTGCAGTTTACACAGAGCAGAATAAAAATAATCTGAGAAGGAAGCAGAACGCTCCCAAGTCTCCTTGTGAACGTGATTAATAATGAAGCCTCACAGCTGCAGGCACCCGAGGTGGTTTGTCCGTGTGGCAGAGGGCACAGTGGGCTTCTGGAAGCGTTTGTGTTTGGTTTCAGAGCGCTATCCGATGGATGCATTTTCACAGATAGCCCTCCTCTCCCTTATGTGCTTCATTTAAGCGGCCTGCAGGCTGGTCCAGGATTTAATATGATCTCTGGGAAGAGACCCCAGTTGCTCTGGATAAATTACAGAATATAAATAATTGATCGTTGATGGTCCCATCATATTAAGTATTGATATTTTGTCAGGGAAAATTATCAAGATATTTCTGGTATTTTTCTTCTCTTTTTGTAGAATAAAAACATTTTGGTGGCTTTTTATTTTACCGAATGACTTTAGGGAAATACAGGAAATTTAGTTCTTCGCGGGTGGCAAAAAATGGAAATGACCAAAAATTCTTTTCAAACTTACCTATTGAAGTTGCAAAATAGAGATGACCATATTCCGTACCTGCCCATCCTTTCGATATAAAAACTGAAGAGTGGCATGTAAAACCGAGCATGTTCATGTGCTTTTCAAGAATCAGAGATTGAAATAATGGCCTTCTCCTTTCCAGATCTCTTTGATAACTACATGCAGCAGGACGCTCACGAATTTTTAAATTATTTGCTAAACACTATTGCGGACATCCTGCAGGAAGAGAAGAAACAGGAGAAACAAAATGGGAAGTTAAAAAATGGCAACATGAACGAACCTGCAGAGAATAATAAACCAGAACTCACCTGGGTCCATGAGATTTTTCAGGGAACGCTCACCAATGAAACGCGATGCTTGAACTGTGAAACTGTAAGCATTGTTCGGGCTCTCGTGTAATTTGCTTGCGCCTACGTGTACAGGCCATGCTGTGTGTGAGTGCGACGTGGTATCATGTTGTGGTATCTGGCAGTTAGTTGTCTTCACTATATGCAGACAATTCGATTTATATATGTAGCCTCAGGTGCAAACTTTTGGAAGCGTGTCTCCATCTAAGATGTTCCAACTGGCTAAAGTAGAGTGATGAGGGTGCTTCTCAACAACCGGCTGGCTTTGCATCTTGGGTGAATTTTAGGGTCCACAAATTGAACTGTCAAGCTGGACGTCCACCTAGCAATCTTGAATAGATTTTGGTTACAAGGAGGCCATGTATGACTTAGACCATCTCCCCTACTTGCAGGAAATCAGTAGTGTGGTATGGTGAACGGGAAGTCAGAAGAGACAGCCTTGAATCCCGATTCTACCGCAGTGATTTGGGCATTTAGGCAAGTCCCTTACATCGCTGTTGTGAGGGCTGGCTGGGCTCGTGTTTGGATGAGCCTGACACATGGTAGACACTGTTGGTTCAACTTGAAGACATGAGCTCCAGAATATGGTTCAGGATGTCATGTTTGCTTGGTACATTTGCTCTAATTCTATGTGTGGCCACATGATATGGTAGTTAGAACCCAGCTCTAGCCCTGGCCGGCGTGGCTCAGCTGGTTGAGCATCGTCCGACAAAGCCAAGAGTTGCAGGGTTTGATTCCCAGTCAGGACACATGCCTGGGTTGCAGGCCTGTTTGGGGTGTGTGTGAGAGGCAACTGATCTCTCAAACCTCGATGTTTCTCTCCCTCTCTTCCTCCCTACCTTTCCTTCTCTCTAAAATAAATAAGTAAAATCTTTCAAAAAATAAAAAAGAACCCAGCTCTAGAGTGAGACGGCGAGTTTGTGTGTTGGTGCAGCCACTCAGTCGCTATGGGACTCCGTGCGTATTATTCCACCTCTCTGTCTTCAGCTCCTCTGTAAATGGGGGGCGATGAGAGTGCCGATCTCAGAGGGTTGCTCAAGGACTAAGTGAGTTAACATTTGTAAAACACTTAGAATCAGGCTCCGCACATAGGAAGTTGTATGCAGCTGTTATTGCTTATAATTACTAACAACACAGGAAGTCTGTGGGTTCATCAGGGGTCTCAGAGTTTCTTGACATTGTATGAAAATTCTGTAGGAGTGCGCTTTGTCTTCTAGGGCGGGAGGCAGTATCTTTCCTCAGATTCTGCCAAGGGGCTCTGCCCTGAAAGTGGGCAAGACACATGGATTTAAGTGGAAGGCTCTCCAATTTTTGACAGTTTCTTCTGTCCTTTTAAACAGTTTTGGAATCAATTTCCTGATTTGTTCATTGTAGAAAAATTAGGAAACATAGCTCAGCAGAAGAAACTAAGGTTACCAGTAATCTCCCCATCCAGAGTTAATAAATTTATAACATTTTCTGAAAATTGTGACCACATTAGCCCAGAGATAACCACTTGCACATTTTGAAATATATCCCGCCAAAACATCTTCACATACTTATCTATCTAGAGATCTTTCCTTCTTCTCTTTTTCCTTCTGTACCTTTGTACTTTATATTCCAGTAAAATTGGAATGAACACAGAATCAGAATAGCATGCTAAACCCCGTGTGTGTATTACTCAGGATCAGTGACTAACACATTGGTCTGTCTTGTTCATCTCTTGTTCCACACGCCCTCCCCCATCACCAACCTGGTCTGTTTTTAAGCCAATCTCAGATAACGTATCATTTCACTTTTCGTTTCTTTATTACTTTGTTCTGTATTCCAAAAAGGTAAATCTGTTTATTCAAAACATAAGTACTATTACTTTTCAAAATAATTCCTTTAAATCATTATTCACTCACTGTTCAAGTTTGCTGGAAACCTTTTCATTTCATATATAGATTTTTAGCAGTTGCTTAATTCAAATTAGGATACATACATGGTCCACACATTGCACTTGGTCAGTCTATGTCTTAATCTATATCTAGCTTTCCTTGCAATTTATTTGCTGAAGAAATCAGGTTATTTGTCTGGTAGAGTTTCCCATATTCTGGACCCACCTGCGGAGCTGTTTAACACGTGTAGTGAATGGCAGTATGTTCTTACCATCCCACTCTTCGTTTTTATTTAACACACCTATTTTGTATTTCTTTTTCTCTCTTGCCTTTTTTTGGATCAATGAAATGTTTTGTTTTGTTTCAGTCTTTGAAAGAAACATGTTACTAAATCTCCCTTCCAGTGCTCTCTGCAGCTTTTCAGGAAGGCTCAGATGAGAGACTCGGTTTTATTTGTAGTGTTTTTTTTTTCTTTTTTTTTTTGTCTGTGAACAGGGCATTTGATCCCAACAGATGCAAATAGGGCATCCCAAATATTTGTATTGAAAAAGCTATTACCTAGTCTGTTATTTCCTGTAGGGTCACCATAGATGGGAAGCCTGCGCCCAAAGAGTTCTCCAAAAATGTTGGGCAAAATTGTAGAGTTTGTGATAATGGGATTCCAACCATTTATATTCGGTTTGTGGAAGTGAATGGGAGTGTGTGGGCATGTCTTTCTGGAGGACATCGCTCAGATTTGTCCTTCCATGTGTTCCTCCCTGAAATGATTACTAGATGATTAGAGGCAAGAATGTTCTGTTCCCTGGAGTTTCTTGGACAATCACCTCCATCTTCTTAAACCCTTGAACTGAACAGGATCCTAGGAATCACCTAATCTTTTCTCGCTGTGCCCGAGTCCCTTCTGTGTCATCGTAGCCAGTTGGTCACCAGCATCCACTGGACCCTGTCCAGAGACAAGCAACTCAATCTCCTGCGATGCATTCCATTTTTAGAAAGCTCTCATTGTTGGAAAGTGCTCTACTTTCTAAGAAAATCCATAACCTGCAGGCTTTTTTTTTTCTTTCTGTTCTGTCAAATGTTGAGGACTTCGTGTAAAAGACCACTTAGCGTTACAGCTTTCCCTCACAGGATGAGAAGCCAGGCCCCTTGGAGCGCTGTCCCCTGCACAGGGCAGGCAGCCTTTGGACCGCGCTGCAGTCGGAATGGCCAAGATCCACGTCTGTGCAGTCTTGCAGTGGGATGAAACTGCCCCAGGTCCCGAGCAGCTAATTAGCCCCCCGGAGGGCCTTGCTATTGTAGCTGCCTGGCTGCTAGTTCCTCCAATTGTGGAACACTCCCTGTGCCAGCCTTCATGCTTTCAGAAAAGAGTATTTTTTTTTTTTTTCTGGGTCTCACCCTCTGTAAATGTTGCTTGTGATTGTAGTACAAATGTCAACTGTGAGATTTATGGAGACAAACAGTTTCCTTCTGCAAAAAATGTGGAGAGACCATTTTAAGGGGCTGATTCGGCACTGACGTTCCTGGATGGGCTTGAGCGGGACACTTCAGGAGGGAGGCGCGGGGGTCCCCGCGGAGCAGCCTCGGCACGCCCTTGCTGGTGCTGCACTTGGTTCATAAGATTTGCAGGGCCATTTGGAGCTTAATTTTGTTGTTGTTGTCAATTTTCCCCCTTTCCATTTAAACTGAGTTTTCACTCTGCAAACCTGTGGTTTTCCATGATTCTCGGTGGCCTTAAGACACGTTTCTGTCTGTTACTGAGCCAAAGATTGTCTAAAGAACTGCTTTATTAAGTACCAGTGGTGTATCGCTCCTTCTTGCTTTGTCTGCAGGAGTTAAAATTGATCCATTAGGGTGTCCAACCCATGGCCTGTGGGCTGCCTGCAGCCCAGAGTGGCTATGAATGCGGCCCAACACAAAAGTCATACATTTACTTAAAACCTTTATTTTGCTCATCAGTTTTTGTTAGTGTTTGTGTATTAAATGTGTGGCCCAAAACAACTCTTTTTCTTCCAGTGTGGCACAGAGACGCCAAAGGGTTGGATGCCTGGGCTTCTGAGCCCTTACAAAAGAGGAGTGGGGTGGGCGGTGTGGCCAGATGTGATTCTCTGAGCCTGGGATTCAGGTGGCCTGTAGTTGCCACTTATGCTATGGCTACCTTTAGGCACCACTTTAAGCCAGCATTTTTCAGTTCCTGGCTGAACAGCATGGGGCTCCTGCCTGGTCACCTTTTTTACTAGTTAAGGAGTCTCCAGATTTACTTAGAAGCATATAGGAATATGATTTTAATGACTCGGTAACTTAGAGAAGCTCATGATTTATATGTATGCTCTAGAAATTAATTTTATTCTAGTAATTGATTTGTAATTACTAGTTTAAGAAGAAGAGCAAGTAGGGTCTCTCCCCCGACCCTTTGTAAACTGTGAAGTTTTCGGGGAGCGCTATGCCCGGAATGAGGGGGAGAAGAAAGGAGAATAAGATGTAGCCTGGACTTGCTGAGAGTATTGGAGTCTTAGTGATAGATATGTTTCCGTGGAGACAAGCTGTATTTTCACTTAGACCAGAATGAGATCCTTGTGTGTGGGAAGAAAATGGTTTTATTTTCTGGCAGCTTTCTGGGAAGAGAGAAAGGAAGAAAAAAATTGCCTGATCACTCATTCCTTTTGACTCTGTCAATCTGGGCAGGGTGGAGAGAAAGCCAGGTGGGAGGGTTTGCCGCCGTGTTTTGACCTCTCCAGCACAGCTGACCCACCTGAGCAGTACCCTCACTCAATTCTGGAAGCAGTTTGCATTGAGAATTGAGAAAGTTACAGTAACTTTATCCAGTTAGTTACTTAGATTTGTACCTTTCCCCTCCCCTCCTAAAACAACTAAGAGGAGAAAAAGCTTTCCATCTAAGGAGAGACAATGTTTCTTTATGTTTTTTTTTCTTTCCCAGTTACAAGCGTTCCGGTAGAACCTGATCCTTGCTATCGAAATTATGTATGATTTCAGCTGGCTGTAATGCTCTTTTTTCCCCTGGAGAAGGGCCATTTGGATCTAGAAAATGTTTTGCTAATTAAACAAACATACCTGTGGATTATTTTAAGAAAAGAGAATGTATAAAAAGAAAATCATTCAGTTCTGTCACCCAGATGTTTCTTTGGGCATTTAGATAGCTTTCGTTTTG